CCCAACAACGTTTCCAATTTAATTGTCATTTCTAGATGGTAGTAGAGTACAGCACTTTCTTAATTGCAACATGTTAGGGTCCTCCAGGCCCTAACACCCACAACAGCCAATTACCAACACATTTCACTTAATTACAATCAATACATCACATCACCACAGAATCAATAATCAGTTTTCACACCATCAATCTCACCAAAGGGCCACAGTATTTATAGGAAATATATTTCTGAACACGAAAATATACATATATATACACAGAAATACAAACAAATAAAGGTTCCAGAAGCATTATTCTGGTGTGAGACACACATACGATTGTAGGCTAGGCTATGATTTAGGCCTAGGCTAATAGGCATAGCCTCTAAACAATCATTATTTTAACGACACGAATTTGGAAATAAATAATAATACTTATCCATCATAATATGGATAAATAATACTACTAAATCATACACTACCTGACAATACACTTCTTTTACACTAAAACACTAACCTCTGATGAATTAGCACAGATAATAATGTAGCCGCACTGTTTTGTAAACCTTACTTAGATTCCGGCGAGCAGAACGCAAACAACTTGTATTTCCAGTTACAATAATGTGTCACCTGAATCTCAATACTGAAAGTCACCAAAACATAGAGATAGAACGTTTTCTTAGCTTCAAATAGGTATGACTCTCATCACTCTATGTCAATTATCAACATATTTATTTGTGATTTAGACACCACCATTTAAACGGCATTTGGGCAAAATGGCCAACTGACAAAACAGCTGTTTTCAAAAAAATATTTTTCAGACTTCCTAACGTCGTATGACAAAGTTCTCTAGCCTATATGAAAATAAAGAACAACTTAAGTTCTTTCCAATGGTACCAACCAATTCCTGTTTGTGTACCAACCACTCACTACCAACCAAACACATCATGATTGTACAATACTAATTGTATTTTGATGATGTAAACTGCAAATTAATTATCACATTAACTTCCATTTATATTATAGTATTAGGTGTTTTATGGATTACAAACATTATAGCCTACCCCTTTTGAATAAAAATGTTTGAAAATGTTCACTATTTTATACTTATATTACAATAAATATAATTTCATTAATTTCTGTGTAATGGTAATATATATAACAAAAATATATATTTATATTTATATGTGTGTATATATATATATATATATATTGAAAATGATTAGTTTTAAAAATATGTAGTTAGTAAAAATGTTATTTGTTATCAATTTTAATATGCACTAGTGTACATGTTGCTCGAAATTGAGCAAATTGCAAAGAAGTTAAGTAGTTATTTAAAAACAAATAACTTATTTAAAAACGAATAAAAGTCATAATTTCTGATGAGTTTAAAAGAGTCAACTCATAGATTACGTACCTAACAGTTCCATATAATAAACATTACTTGTAAATATTTTATCATTTTTCAAAAGCTGATCTGGTTTTTTGTTTTCCACTTATAGCCGCATTAGGTTGTCCATGTTGATCTTCGTCAATGATAATGTAGTCAGCATGGTACTACCCATTGTCGCCAGTACGTTTACAAATTTCAGTTATTTTTTATAGCGATAAAATTTTGTTTACTTAAGAACTGCCTGATTTTCTGCATAACCTCTCTGTCACAATTTTATTTGGTTCAATTTGCATTAATTTTGGCTAGTTAGTGTTATAACGTAAGTTATATTTACCTGAAAAAATGCAGAATTGAAAGGCCTTATGTTGTTCAGATGGTTTTTTGTTTCCCTTGAATGTGAATAATAATGTTAATAATGTGAATCCTTCAATGAAAGTTTTATTAAGGTTTCTTGGATGTAGTCATATTATTTTAAAATCACTTGACTTTTATGAAAACATATATTTAATGTCCTTGCCGGACCAGTTTAATTCGGCCTTAGAGGGGTCTCCTTTGCCAATCATCATAAAGTTAAGTCAGTGTTTCCTACAAAATAGCACTTCGGCTGACCTTGTTCATTGTTTGTGGGAATCTTCATATTGTAGGTGTTCTTCATTATAGGATGATAAAGATAGTATCACAGACAATATAATACTGTAATAAATTGTCATACTGTAATACTGGTCTACATTGTCTGTAATAGTATTTTTTTTTTTTAATCTCTATTTCTTCTACTTGGTAGCGTTCTATGACTTTTCTATGTTTCCATGGTTAACAAATCGGTTCTTTCAATGATTGCTCAAGAATTACAGTACCCTGTCAATTCATTTTTCTTATTTGGTAAAATATATAAAATTGTCCAGGCTTTCTCGATTTTTTACTTTGTAACATGTACGAATGTAAATTAAAATAGTAAATATTTAATTTGAACAAAATCAGTAAATGTACCCAATGCGTTTCATTTAATTGAAAAAATAAATAACAGCAATTAAATTATACAGCTGATCAAAATGTAAACAATTATGTTCTTTATAAGGTAGCATGGGAACTTTAAAAGCCACTGGGGCAGAGCCCAAGAGACTTTTTCAAAAATGTAAGGTCAGTTTGCATGAATCTACAGGTCACGCTCTTTCCAATGGATAAAATCGGTTAAGAAATGGCGGAGGAGTTTAACCGACAAAATTTCATGTTGCGTCCCATTAATTATATAGATTTATACACAAACTTAAATTCTTCTATTAAATCAAAAAATGTAGGTTCTTTAAACCATAGTATCCAGATATCTGACCGAGATGACAAAACAATCCGTTATTTACTACACATACACCTATTGTACAATTTTAAATACAACATCTTAAAAGTGACGGCTTATGTTCAAATTGTATAAGAATATTAAACTAATCATTAATTAATTGTATCTTTGCTATCAAACAGCTTAAATATCAATGTCACGTAATTGGGCGTTATTAATAATTACATTCTTGAAATTACACAATGTCGGAGGAAAAGCTTGTCTAAGTTAAATTACGACAACCTAATACAGTTTATCGTATTCGTAATGGCTTTTGTTACGGTACCGGATATGAAGAGGCTGTGGTGTGGTGGCTTAGTGAGCGGGCTTCTACTGTGGAGTCCCTGGTTCAAATCCCGGCCGGGATAATGATAATTTTATTATAAATTTTGTCACTTTTTAATTTTTATTATATTTTTAATGCATAGTTAGGTAATACAGGGTGTTAAAAAAAGTGAGGACATAATATACAAATTGATTCCTTGGGTCAAAATAAAGAGAAAATCATGAATAACATTTTTTCCAAAATCGCTTCATTAACCAGATATCCACCATTTTGTAATATTTACATAAACTTTTTTATCTTTGAATTATTTCAACCAATCTTATGGAATTTGGTATGTATGTTAAGGTAAAAGAGTCCCATGTTATAAAAAAGTTAATCTTGATTCAACTTAACATTTCATAATGGCGGCCGTTATTTTTTAAACTTAAATTACTCGAAAATGCCTGATTTTATAAAAAAAAATCAAAAACACTTTTATTTAGCACTTTTACAATTCCCTATCAAACGATACCAAGATCAAAAAGATCGAATATGAAATAGCTGAAATATTACGATTTTTGGTTGTAAAATGGGGAAAACCTGACTAGCTTCTACCTTATTCTATCCCATTTTAATTATTTATTTATTTTCTACCTCCATATATAAATAATGGGCATGATTACGCCAAAAACTACCGTAGCAGGGTCCCGTGGGCTTTAACACGTTCGCTACTGCAATAGCACGAAATTTTTCATTCACATGTACCAGCGACGCACATATGCGACGGCCGGTTTCCACCCATAGACTGTCACGGCTAGTCACATTAAAATAGACTGACGACGCATATTTGCGTCGGGGTTCTAATGTTATTAAAATGCTTATATCTTTGTAACGGTCTATTTGAAGGCACTAAATTCCCTGCAGTGGTCTACAAAGATGTCTGACGCACAACTGCGTCGCTTGGTCTGTGGATATGATGATTGGTGACTTCATACGATAGTTGGAAAAACTGGTCTTTACTTTTCTGCATCACTGTATGTATGTATGTAGTATTTATGCTGCATTATCCTCTGTAGCTTTTATCATAGACTAAGCAACACAAGTAGACTCCTCATCTCATTGTAAATATTGAAGTTTGTTTTTCGTGTCTAGTTCATGTACGTCCACACCAATCGCTGGGGTAGACAACATTTTGTTTCTATTATTTTAGGATTATTTTCATGATTTGTGCTTTACTATTTGCTTATATAACTAGGAGACCAGTTATTGTTTATGATTAAATCGTTTAATTTGGTTAAATGAGGTTTTAAATTACTGAAATAACAAGAAACAAATTGTAAACAAAACATAACCTCTACATTTGGACGTACAGAACTAACAATAAAACTGGCTTCAGCTGTTCCATAAGGATGACAAATCTACTAAGGGAGTATGATTTATCTATGCTTTTATATTTGTTCAGTTATAAACTGTTCTTGAATAATCTGTTTTTTTTTACTTACTTTTACCTCAAAACACAAACAAAAATGAACTGTCGCATATATGCGACGTTTGGTCTATTTCAAGAAAACTATGATAATTTTCACTATTATCTTTGCTGTAGACCGGGGGTCGCAAATATGCGACATTACAAAAGGTTATAAAACATACAAACAAGAATAAATTATTTACAAACACGATTGTAACACATTAAAATGTAAATGATCACTGTTTCACAGGTTTTCACCTGTTGTCTGTGTGTACTGTTAACCAAGTGACAGCCGGTCTATGTGTAAGATTCAAATGTAAACCTCGGTCTGTGGCAATGGCCGCAGCGTCGCATAGAACGTGTTAAAAAACGCCAGCCTTGAAGGGTTAAAATGATATGAAGATATCAAACAAAAAACAAACCATGTTTTACAGAATCTCTTTAAGAAAACTTGAAATGTCAAGTAAATTGAGGGCTAAGTGGCAGAACTTTAAATTCACATTTATTATTGAGCAAGTGGCTCACTAAAAAAAGGTTGAATAATTGAATGGATGTTTGAGTTGCTTACTTGTTGCTTGTCGAGATTATACTCTGATCCAGTGTATTGGTTGATATAGGTATGACTCATGGTGGGTATGATACTAGCTCCATACATAGGATGTGCTATACGGACATTCTGATCAGAACTTGCAATTGACATGCTTGCAAACCTGAAAACAACAACCAATAAACTGGTGCAAGTTGTTTAACTTTTCATCAAATTTAATAACTTTATATAGATGTATTAAAAAATAGAATTTTGGGTAATAATACAATATAATCTAGGCCTAAATACCCTAAAAGACATTTGATAAAACACAGCTTCATAACAAGAAAAACTCTTTTTTCGCTGAGAGCAAATCCCTAGCCCATTAGCATGGAATATTGTATCCCTGGTCTAAACACTACAGTACAACAATGCAAATAGGCCAAGAGATAATGACTAATGGGTTGAACCTGAAAGAGCAGCAAAAGTCAAGATATTGAGGAACTGTTTATTTTCAAATTTCGTAAACAATATATTAATATTTAGTTTTTAGAACAGGAAGAAGTAATTGAACTTAATAAAAGATTAAATACAGTATCAGTAGGCTATAACATTAAAATGAATGTTGGAATTATTATTCCAATACCAACCTTTGAGCTAGGTCAGGAACTGAACTACTTGGAGTGTATTTCCCCTCGTGTCCCAGGAGAGTGGTATAAGATCCTGGGACTCGACCGTTGATAAACTTTTGGTTTGCAATGCTAGGTTGGCTGCTGACTTGCTAAAACAAGTTGAACAATTGTCTATATCAGTAAGCTACAACTTATGGGCTAGATGACTTCATTTTTATGGATTGAAACTGAAAGAGATGGCTTACATATTGACAAAACTACTTAAATTCATAAAATCAGAATCTAAATACAGTACTCTAATGGGGGCACAAAAATACCCCATGATCACACAACAGTTCTTCGTATTTGTGAATTGTTTTGTAGTGCTTCAGCTGGTTATGAAATAAACAAACATACAAACAAATTGGCTCTTGTATAGGCTAAGGGGTTTTTCTTGAGCATTTTAAGTGGGCAGTCTACAGGTGATTTATTTGTCAGCTACTACAGCCAATTTAGTAAGTACAGTATCACTTGTAAATCTTTTGATTGTAAACCTGACAGCAGTTGGAAAAAATATTATTAAATATTTTTACAGGAAGTACCGGTAACCGAGTTTTTTTGGAAAATTAGATCTATTGCTAAAATCATTCAAACAACTAATCCAAATGGAATCGTCAACTTCTTTCCTCATGATGTATTTAGTTTTGAATTATCAATATAGAAATTACAGCTTACCAATGCTGGTGACTCAGGCCTTTGATTTCTTTTGCTATTTTTCTTCATAGGCTCTGTTGTCCAAACATTTATGACTGAAAAACACTTAGGCAGTCAGTTTATTTATTTTACCAACGACTGTTTTTTAAACTAGCTGTTTCAGTTCAGTTCTTAGCATTTAAAAGATTCACATAACAGCATTGTTTTAACAAAAAGAATAACAGACCAATGAGGTTCAAGGATTGAGAAAAAAGAAATAAAATTGTGGTGCTTTAAACTTCAACTAATCAGCTGTTAAGAACAATTTAATTGTTAATGAATGGTGCAATTAATGTTTAATTATATGTACCAATACATCATAAATTAAAGGTTATATTGTCAATGGCAAGTCTCAGAACCACTTATAAATAGGCCCCATTGGCCCTGGCCCAGGGGCGCAAGCAAAAGAAAACACAAAATAGGTGGAGAGGGCACAATTATCTCTCGGGCCCATAGCGCAAGTCTAAGGCTTAAAACTAAACTAGGCTACTGCTGTTTCACTTAAAAAATACTTAGCCTACCAGAAATAAAAAAAATAAAAAATCTAATTTAGGCCTACCCTGCAAAAATTAAGCTAGGTGGTGTGGGTAGGTTCATTCATACCTACCTAATTCCAGCAGCCATTTAAATAGACTGCCTTTAAATAAAAAGACTTAAGCCTCGGGTACGATAAGAGCAGCGAGCGGCAAGCGGCGAGCAGTAACCTGAGCCGCGGTGGTGGCTACGATACAAGCAGCACATTTATAATGCTCATAAAATTTCCCCAGTTTTATGAGTCAGTTTAGTCGAAAATGGTAAACTATGCTTACCTGCAAGATGTATTGCAACTATTGTTGCTAGCCTATCTGACAATTGTTTGCCTTTAAAGAAAAACTTAGTTTTTAGAAAAACCTTAACCCTAACTTGGACCCATATCTTTCTGGTGACTGAAGTGTTTTAAAACTTCCGTGCTGGTCATTCGACAAACATAACCTGGCTGCACCTCATGTATCGACCCGTATCGCATGTTTGCTGCTGTTTCCCTGTCAATTTAGGCCAAACTGAAGCATGACTCACCTGAGCGGCGAGCGGCGTTTTCGCAAAAATCGGTTTTTGTTTTAACTTGGAACCATGAGCGGCGCTGAGCGGTGCTGCTTACCGCCGCTCGCCGCTCAAACGTATCGTGACCACCCTCAACAAATTTACATGCAACTAAATGAGACCCGATGTCAGAGCGGCGCCGCTCATGCCGCTCACCGCTCGTATCGTACCTGGGGCCTTAGTCTTAAGTCATTTTATAAGGGAAAGTCTAAACTTGGAGGATTTTCAAGGGTAATTAAACTTCTTGATAGGAAGATTAGGAGGACTTAGGATTTTGGACCAATGCAATGTGATGATAACTGAAATATTTGTAAATTGTGAGTGACAGGTTTAATGATATTTTTGTTTCGGGTATTGTACAGTTTGACTCTCCCTAAAAGTGGACAAGTTCTTAACTTATGGGCCCAGTATGCTATTTCCAAAAGATAAAGATTGTAAAAAGTTAGAACTTTAAAATCTTACAATAGTTGTTTACTTGAGGATCTAAAAGGAACTTGACCAATAATTTGTGTTAGCCTACTTTTTTTCAATGAGAAGAGTTAGGCTACCCCACATCAAGATACCAAAATATTCTTTAATTTTTTACTTAAAATTTAAATTTTATGTGCCCAGTAAAGATTTTTGTTCAATATCAATCCAAGGAAGTTTAAGTTAACATTTAATTGTGAAAGTACGGCTTGATGATTTGAAAGGATAATTTGGTCTGAATATTCCCTGTAGTAGGCCTAAGCAGAAATTTGTGTTTTATATTAAACTAAGGCTACAATTATACTAGGAGGCTGGCGTCCAGAATGCTGGCGTCCGAGAGGCTAGCATCCCACTTCGAGCCTAAAATGGTGTGATTTGTGTTGGTATGCTAGCCTCTCAGACTGCTAATTAATTTCAAGGTTTTGTCACTTTTTGCTATTTAAATAGGTTTAACGAGTACCAGACAGGTTTGTTGTTTCAGGGAGGAAAATGCAGTGTGTTTTAGTAAAATATTAATAGCTAGCTTGGTATAAAAATATTGGCCAAGTTTGATCAAAATATATCCATAAGCAAGCAAATTACAACACCTAAACAATATTTTCCATACAAGAATAAAATGGGAATTTTAAATTTACATTTTTTTCTGTAACTAACTTTACAAAAATACTAACATTATAAATTAGTTTGTTAAAAGATCTTTAAAACTATCGAGAGAGAGAGATTGAAAATTTTGTGTTTTGTGTGTCAAAAATGAGAAACCCCCTTTTTACTCTAAAAACTTCTTTTAGTTTTACAAATAGTGCTGGGCGGGGGAATAATGTTTCTCATTTGTTGTGTACCTCATTTATGGTGGGGAGGGGCTGTTGCTCAATTGGGGGGGGGGGGGGTTGCGTCATGAGTCTAGGGGGGGATGGGCACCCCTGGGTAATAATTCGCTTAAACAAATTTAGTTTTAAACAAAGTTTTAAGATAATCGAACTGGCATCCCGAATGTTTTTGAAAAAGAGAGTATCCGCGATGTTGCTCGGACAGGGTGAGAGTGTAGACTGATTTTCGGAGTACCCCCACCCCTACAAAACCGGACCAGAGCCACTCTAACCACCTACCCCCAGGCTTCATCAGGAAGGAAACGCATAAGCTCTAGCAGGTTTTACTATATAGGCCTAGTGTAAACCCGACTTTATGATGACATCATTAAAAACACATCCAAACGGGTTCTTAGTTGCACAATCAATAATTCCCCAGCACTATTATGTACAATAGCAAGTTATCTCAATCATAATTCATAGCCATCTAGACCTAGGGCCTGTAGCCTATAGGTGCCTCCAAATGAATTTTTAATTTTGATTTACTTTATAGTTTTTTACCTCCTGAATCCAAATATACAATTATTTTTCACAGCAAATGAATATTTCCTCAAGATATCGCCGTAATAATATACCGTACAACATTACAATAAACAAGGTAGGATGGATGACATTAACAAGTGGAATGAACTATGGGTTAAGTAAGCCAACAGCTGATTGTTTTCAATCATAGTCAACCAAATGGAAGTGACAACTTTATTACGGTAGCTAACCTTCTGATTCTGCAATATGAAAATCACCTGATTAAGTTACACTTTTTACTTTCTAAGACCAATAAGTTAACCCGTTTAATAAAATGTATTATTTTTACCAGTATTTTATTCTTATTATTGATTTATTGATTTATATTTCACCGTTTAAAAATTACATAATAAAATGGTGCTATTCTAACATAACTTAACCCAACCAAACCTATAGAATGTAAGCAAACTCCATTTGATGTAGGAAAAGGCATGTCAGGGTGGTAGGTCGTGCTTTATGTGAATTGGTGAATGCAAAGTCCTTTGAAGGTAGGTTAGATTAGGTAGACCTAAGTTAAAGTTTAGGTTATAATGTATCGAGTTGTTAGTTTATGTCGCCTGCAGACTGTTTTTGTAAAATTAAAATCCAGAGAAAACACTTCAAATTAAAATACTACGGTAATAGCTTATTCCCTATATGGGAAATTCGCTAAAATGCAAGCATTTTTGAAAAAGTAGGGAAGAGTGGGGAGGTATGGGACGCAGGAGGAACAATTTAACAATTTTGAATTTCCCGCCAGTTGTAATATTTTTTTGCATCCTGTCATTTGTTTGTGCAAGCCTTCTTCCTCTTCCTATGGTGGTTGCAGTTGCTCAGATCAACAGTTCTTTAACTGAAGAGATAGGACAGTTTTTCATGTTGAAAAGTAATAATTATCGATGATATTATAAAGGTAAGTAAAAAAAAAGTGTTTATAATTTCAGGATTTTAAATATACATTGTTTTCTGCATATTTTACAATATAAGAACTTCCAATATGGCCAGCCATTTTTGAGGTTATGTCAATTCTTTGTAACCATGTGCTTGCAGGTGGAATGGGACACAGAACAACAGGAGGAATGGGACACAGAACAACAGGAGGAATGGGACAGTCCCATTCCTCCTGCTACATCCTTTAAATTTGTTAATGTGTTTCTTACTTTTGTTCAAGCAATTAAAAAACAAATAATCTGCTTATTAGTTTAATAAACATCCCTAAATGTTAATTAAGTTAGGCCTACCTATTCAATTTCAACCCCTTAATATTTAGGCCTACCAGAATGGCATGAATTAGAAAAAAAATTTTTTAATAGGTATGTATTCATATTTTGTAATTTGTATTTAAAAACTCTTTCTTTAAACTTTTTTGTCCGTTCGAAGAATAATATGAAAATGCTAATATAGGCCTAACCTATTTTGTTGCAGATAGTACCGTAATCAACATGCCGAGAGTTTGGCCGAAGAAAACGGACCGAAAACGAATAAGTGAGGAAGAAATAAAAACAGCTGTGGATTTAGTTGTAAACCAGGGCCACAAAACACGCACAGTAGCAAGAGATTTAGGCATTTCTAAATCTACCCTTGATCGCCATGTACAAAAAGCTAAAAAATTAGAAGATGGTGAAGAATATAGCTTTGCTAGGAACACCACCGTCCGTAAAGTGTTTACACATGAACAAGAGGAAATGCTTTGCTCAGGCCCGTTTTTGACCCTGTCAGCGCCCTAGGCACATCTAATAGTAGCGCCCCTTTGCAATGTATATATAACAGGGTGTCCACCGACCGGGAAATCCGGGAATCATGCGGGAGATTTTTGAACCGTGAATTTTGTTTTTCTACCTGGAGTTTTCAATTTACCGTGATCGCGCATGACGAAAGTGACGTTTCCGTGATGGTGGGAGACGATAATATGTCTACACACGGCCGCGAGGGATGATCAGAATTTTCCGCGATCGCAGAAGACGGTGATGGTATCTACAGAGCCGCAACGGATAATCAGAGTATTGCCGCGATCACGGAAGACGATGATAATGTCCACACGACCGCGGGAAACAGCAAGAATTCTGCCGCGATCGTAGAAGACGATGATGATCTCCACACGACTGGAGGACATTATTAACATTTTACCGCAATCGCGGGAG